CCCCGCAGCCTGCAGGCGGTAAATGGATAAAAAGTACCACATCCGCTTTTGTATTAGACCCTTAATAAATAAATGCCTGCTGAATGTTGGGGAAAGACAGCCAGGAATCAAACCAAATCCAGACCTTACCAAATCTTTCAAGGTGTAGGCTAATGCCTTCTCCTTCAGGTTGCCCTCCCTGATTGCTGTCATTATCCGTCCCCGCTCTGAGCAGGGGCTTTCACATTTATTATTTCATATAACCTGATCACGGTACTGGGAGGTAAGCATTATCATTGCCAGTTTACACAAAAGGAAGCTTCCGCTCAATAAATTGAATAGCGTTTTCTTGAGTCACATGGTGTCATTGCCCAGATTATACAAACAAGACCTCTGGACTTTAAATGGGTGCTCTTTTAGCAATTAAATTTTCAATTTTAAGTTATTCTTTTTCTTAACCACCTTAACTTTAGGTATCTTTCCAGATATTTCCTATGCAGGTACATAGATATGTTCCCCCCAACACACACACAAATGTTATTGCATTAAATGCATAGCTCTGTCAACTTCAGTTTTTGTTTGTTTACATAACCATAGATCTTGAGACCTCTGGATGTTAATACACATAGCTTTCTTTACCTCCTTTTTAATAGCTGCATAGTCCATAATGTAGATACTCTGCCATTTATCTACTCTGATACTGAGGAACATTTAGGTTGTTTCCAATTTTTCACTATTGCCAACGAAAACACTATATAAATCAGCCAATCAGAAAAGGGCCTGCAAATGAGCCCCAGGCTGAGCGAGGTGGTTTTGCCGTCCTAGGCCTGGGCGCTGGGAGAGTGGAGAGGGCTTGGAGAGGCCCGGGAATTCAGACAAAGGCCAGGTCCCCACCTGAGTGCACCAGTAATTGTCCCTTTCTGGTACTAGTTGGTTACAAAGTAATTAGGTTTCTAATTAGGTGACAAAGGCCTGGAATGTGAGAGAAGAGGACATGAGAAAAGAAAAGAAAAAATAATGGAAAAGGAAGGAGAGAGAAGGGAAAGAAATCCATGATTTCCGCTCAGCCGTGAAGACAGATTTGGGAGGCATCATTTGTTGGTCCTGGGGTCCAGATCCATCTTCCTGAGTGTGGGGAGCCTCCAGGGCAGCACTCAGCACTGTTCATCTCTGGGCTCCTGCCACCAGCTGCTCAGTGAGACGGAATGAACGAGTGAATCACCGGAATAAGCTCACATCCCCATAAATCCTTTCCACCCAGGCTGAGCAGTCCTGTGCCTGCTCTCTCCAACAGCACCCCCTAAAGCCCACCTTGGACCTGGGAAGCAAAGTCCCAGGACGCAAGCAGCTCTGAAGGCCACCTCGAGTCAGCACAAGGCATCAGTCTTGCCTTGCCCCTGATATTTACCACCCCGGGAACCAGTCTCCTCTAACATGCTGCTGTTTCCACAGATATCCTCCTTCTGTTAAAGCAATAAAGAGATTGTACTTCCTTATTCAGGAGTAAAAACAAAATGTTCCACATAAAAAAGCAAGCTAGCGCTCAGTGGAACCTCCCACGACAGTCAGCACAAAGTGAGGACCTGCGATCGGGCCACCCGATAAAATCCAGGATGCCAAGCAAACGTGAATTTCAGATAAATAGCAAACAGCTTATTCATATAAGTACATCCTGAATATTGCACATGGCACACTTATATTAAAAATTATTCCCTGTTTATCTGAAATTCAAATTTAACTGAGCTTGTGTTTTCCAAATCTGACAACCCTAACTGAGGGCCCATTCTCCCAGCTGAGTGAGGGGCCTGGCCTGGCAGCACCTTGAGGGGTTAGTTCCAGGGCCCTGCGCTCCTCTCCAGGCCCCCCCTTCCTCTCTAGCCTCCATTTCTCCTCCTCCGGGACCCACTCCCATTCTACATGGCAGGGAGGCTCAGGCCTTATTCCTCTTGCCTCCGCTCTTGCTTCCATTTTAACAAATGTTGATTGAGCTGCTATCCACCAGTGCCAGGTGCTGGGCTACAAAGGTGAACAAGAGTCATGCTCTCTGCTCACAAGGAGCTGACACCCTGCGGGGATATAAGCAAATGAACAGATAATTTAAGAAAATGTTAAGTGATGTGAAAACAGAAGATGTTGTAATAGAGAATGGGGAGACATTATCAACTGGGTGGTCTGGGAAGTACTCTCTGAAAAGGTGACATTTGTGCTAGGACCCAATAGCTAAGATAGAGGCAGCCAGGCAAGGACCTGGTGATGATAAAGAATTTGGATTTTAATCCATGTTGACCCTGGCAATTTACTGAACCTCTGTGCCTCAGTTTTCTCATCTGTAAAATGGGTATGATAATAGTATTTATCTTGTAGGGATGTTGTGAGAATTAAATGAGTTATTGTAAATAAAGTTCCTAGAACAGTGCCTGGCACCTAACAAGCACAGTGTCAGCTGTCATTGTTATTATATTGCTATAAGCACAGGAGCAACTCCTATGCAACTCTCCTTGTCTCTGTAGGCTCCCAGGCATTTCTCCTTACAAGAATGCAGCCATCTACCTGGAACAAATTGAAGGGTGCACAGCTGAGTCCTGTGCCGGGAAGTCTCTGCCATCTGTCATGGTGTCTGGGCACCGCTTCCCCATTCAGGCTCCAATTCTTTGGCTCTTAAAGGCTGTTCAGATCCCTAGAGCCCCCTGGGAGAGTTGAATGCTCCTCTGGGGTTGCTAAAGCAGGTGGCACCTCTTACTTTACAGCACAAACACGTTGTATGGCAATTGCTTAGTCTCCCCGACTTGACCCTCTGTGTCCTAGCACAGCTGTGAGTGTAGCAGGGGCCCAACAAATGCTCATTGGGTAGATCACCTGGGAAGATACCAGATGATGTCTGGCCTGGGGCTCTGGGGTCCTGGGATACAGGGAGTGCCTGGGGCTAAGGGAATAAAGCAAACCTTTAAAGGAGACAGAGTGGAAATCACCAAAGTCAGAATTCTCCCCAACCGCTGTGGTCTGTAGGGACTCAGGGAACAGGGTTTAGAGTCACAGAGACTTCAACTGGTATCCAGGCTCTTCCACTTCCCATGTGATCTGGGATAAGACCCTTACCTTTCAGAGCCTCAATTTCTGCTTCTGTAAGATGAGAATAATAAAGCCTACCGCGGAGGGGTGTTATAATAAATACAACTTCAGACGTTGGGAAGCACCTCTCAGGGTGTCTGACACATAACGAGTGGCTGGCTATGGCAGCTGGAGTAAACGTTATAATCGTTACTGTTGTTATCACTAAAACACATTATTAACCAGAGGGCATGGAGGTTAAGAGCTCTAGCTCTGAAGTCAGGCTGCCTGCGTTCAAATCTCAGCTCCAGCACTTACTAGTGCATGAATTGTGGGCCCCACGAAAAGGAGCCAGGGCTCTTAGAGACAAGACGGATTTTAAGCCCGGAGCAGAGTAGGTGCAAGATGAACCTGGAGCATCTTATTGTGCCCAAAATAAGGAAGTTGTCAAAAACTAATGTAAAAAACACAGGAGCCAGCTTGAAGTTGCCCCCACTGACTTCAGCATCTAAAAGACTATTGACTGCACTAGCCTGATTGGACCACATGGACTATTTTAAAATCCAGGAATTTATGAGTCTCAGCAGAAGAAAGGTGGTAGTGATCGTATCAACTTCTCACTCTGAGAGCTGATAAAGGGGAAGGAATTAACCATTTAGTCTTCCCTTCCAAAAGGAACTATACTTCAGGGAAATACTGGCCTTTGTTGATGAGAATTCAAACTTACAAATGTAGAAGAAATGATAAAATTAGAAAAGTGGGCACCAAACAGCGTATAACTCCTGTGCTGATGTAATCTGAAGGACACATCATGCAGGGAGCATTCTTGCCCAAAATGGTGCAACGGAATCTTATCAAATGTTTAGATCCAACTTCAGTTTACAAGACATGATGGAGAACAGCAACCAGGGAGCTGACAGCTCAAGGAAGCAAGCAGTCAAGCCCAGATCCTGGGGCACTGTACCAGAAAATGAACCAGGGTTCCGCAACAGGACATGAGGTCACTGTTCTGGAATAAAAAGAATTAAAAGATGACCTTGTTATAGCCTTGTTTGGATCCTGATTTGAACAAGCCAACCTTTAAAAACACACTTTTGGGAACAACCAGTGAGATTTGAGCATGAATTAGGTATGACATTGCACTGACAAAATATTACTATTCCTATTGGGTGTCATAAGG